GATCAATAATTGTCATACTTAATGATTATGCAAGTACAGATCTATAATTTTATTATACTATTATTTTTGTTCTCATTTGAGGTTAATATTGCTTATAAACCTAGATATGTAAATAATAAATTTTATTATTTTACAAAAAGTTTGGCAACAATGTAAATTTTTCAACACACCCACCTTGATGACGTGCACGCCACTTTGTTTGGCGTTGAGTATAGTCCGGTAGATGTGCAAGTCGACAGTTGAAAACATGGTGGAAAGTCGTATTGTCATACGTAATTGTGTTATTAATCTCACAAATATCCTCCTGGAAGAACTGGAAGAAGTTTTGGAGGAAGAGAGAAATCCTGAAAAAAGGATATGGTGTCGAGAATGGCTTACACGGAGAGAAAGTCAAGGAGCTTCCACCAATTTAATAAGGGAGCTGAGATATGAAGATCCTAAAGAATACAGAATGATGCTCAGAATGACTGCTGCAAAATTTTACTATTTGTTAGGCTTAATAACTCCGTTAATCCAATGAGAGGACACTATTATGAGAGACGCTATCAAACCAGAAACAATGTTGTAAGTAACCTTGAATTATCTAGCAACTGGTAATAATTACAGAAACCTTTCTCATCTCTTCCGAGTTTCTAAAACAGCGATATCTATCATGATCCCATTGTTTGTGAAACTGTGTATGACTGCTTAAAGGATTTCGTAAAGGTATGTAAATAGATAATAATAAAACATTTTTTAAATTTTATTTAGGCTTCTTAATAAAAAAACAAATTCAATTGTAACATTTAGTTTGTCAAGTTCCATGCTTGCGAGATAATATCTCCGATAGCAGCATCAACATTTGCAACTGTGTCCTCGTTCATGACCGGGTAATTAGTGCTGTATGCAAGAGTAGTTGCAGGAGGTAAATCCCAAGAAAGGGTTGGTGATTGAATTGTAGTTAATGCGGAAGCCTCAGAAGCCGAACTGCTCTTATTTAACGCATTCAATCGTTATTTTTGTATTACTCTTTGAATTTCACCTTGCGCCATGATTGAATCAGCAGGGGGCAGTTTATTTAAACTGGCTGCAATGAACTTGCCAAAAGCTTCATGTTCACTGATTGATTCAGAAGTTATTGTTTCCTGGACTTTTCGGACCTCTGCAACAGCTACGGTTAGTGCTTCTATCCGTGCTTTTTTATTTTTCGATCCTGCTTCTACTCGAGAACCTGTTTTACTAGTCGATTCTACTCGGGAGCATGTTTTGCTGGTCGAAGGTCTTATAGGAATCTGCGAGAGATTTGGAGACGGTTCTTCATTGACTTGTTCCTCTAGCAGACCTTGTTTCCTAAAATGAATGAAATACTAATTTAACATTTCTCATTTGTTTAATGATTAATATTTATTTTTTGTTTATTTTTTCAGGTTCCTGATAAACATGATGCATGTAAAAAAGTTGCGAATGGGTTTGAAGCAAGATAGAATTTTTCTTTCTGTTGTGGTGCCATTGATGGCAAACATGTCGTGATCGAGGCTACCCTCATACTGGAAGTGAATATTTCAACTATAAAGGCCCCTTCAGCGTGGTACTAATGGCAATTGTAGATCACAATTACTGTTTTTCTTATTTTAAAGTAGGGACAAAGGGATCTAACTCAGATGGTGGTATTTTTCAAAACAGGGAAATTTCAGGAGCTCGAGAAGAAGGATTACTACCCGATGGTTACTTTTTAGTTGGAGATGATGCTTTTCCACTAAAACCCTATCTACTTAAACCGTATAGTAGATACCGACTACCTCTTACCGATGAAGAAAAGATTTTCAATTATCGGCTTAGTCGTGCCAGAAGAATAGTGGAAAATAGTTTTGGAATCTTAGCAAGTAGATTTGAAACAAAAGTACAGATAAAAGTTTCCTCTGTGAATAAACTGGTTAGTGCTGCAATTGTGATTCGCAACTGGTTGATTGTGAAAACCAACACACTGGCGAAATAATACCTGGACAGTGGAGACAAGAGATATGAGAACTGAGAAAGATACAAGGGGTACCTGAGAGGAGGGCATCGGAGATAGCAAAACACATGCGAAACAAAATGAGGGATTATTTTTTTTACCTGAAGAAGGAGCAGTGCCTTGGCATCGAAATTTTATAAATTAGTTATTAAAAAAAATCACTTTTGACTTACTAAGCTTTTCGTTTCATTTTCAGCTATCCATTATTTCTTCCATTTTTCGGAACCGCTTGACAGTGGGAACGTATATATCATCCGGTTTACCTCCTGATTTCTTAGACTTTTCAACCTTAAACGCTTCCTGATTATAGGTTGTTCTCATTATCTTTATTTTTTGCTTTAATTCTGCCACCCCAAAACCGTCCTTTTCCATCCTGTTCGCGATGTCCTCTTCAGCTGCTTTCCGCATGTTTTTATTGCGATAATTTACACTACTCTTCTTCCATAAACACTCTCTTCCACTATAGAATTCAACAAAATGCATGGTTTCTACTTCTGACCACTTCATCTTGTACAAATTCAACCTTAATTATTCACATTTTGTAGTATACCAAAATCACCAAAATTATTTGCTTATCTGTGATCAAAAAAAATCTGAAAAACACAGAATACAAATCCACAATCCATCGGCAAAAACTTATTTACTCTTGCTTTTTCTGTTTACATTGGTAAAGTAGGCGATCAAGTTGGCGATCCAGTGAAGTGGGGGTAGCAGTCAAGTAGAGTTGCTTGTTCACCGTGCAGAACCACTTGACTTGCCTCGTCACTTGACGCAAGTCGCTACTGGCTATTCGTCATTTGTTTGTCTGGACGGTCCGTAGGACCTTTGTCCATTAGTCACTGTCTGATGTACGTTAGTCGAATCTGTCAGTCCTGTTTTTTTTATTCGGTTTTGTTAGAGTGTAATTTTGAGTTTACTAAAGATTCACGCTAACTTTTTATTACAGTGCGAGCCGTGGCCTTGAATGTTTACGAACTTGCTCCACTGTGTAGTCCACTGAGTCACGCAACAGAGGGTTGCTGTGCGATTCCGCTTGACTATAACGTCGCTGCGCCTGAAGCTTGACATAATCCCTCAAGTAAGGAATGTCAAGGTCTCTGTGTAGTGTCTCATTTGAGACATACCATGGAGCGTTGCAAATTGTCCGCAAAGTTCTGCTTTGTATGTGTGTCTTGGCAAGAAAACACCAAGCCGCACATGCATAAGTAATGGCTGGTCTAATAATCATTTTATATAGTCAAACTTTGTTTATCAAACTCAATTTGGAGGATCTACATAACAAAGGATATAGTTGCCGAAACGCAATTTGGAATTTTGTTTTTATGGATGCTGTATGTTTCTGCCAGGTCATGCCTTTATCAAGGTTGACACGGAGATACTTGGCAGAATTTGTCCAAACTACAAACATATACAGGGTGTCTGCGAAACGTTGAGAAATCTCGAAACTTTAGATACTACAGACCAAATATGTGAACTGCTGTACGTACAGTTCTGGAAGCTCCACTATGTCGGCTCATATTTTGAGCAAAACTTCCTAAAATCCAAACGGTTTTTACTACTCAAAATAGGGCTGTAATCATTTCTTACCAGTTTCTTGTAACCGGTGATAGATTTGTTGTAAAGTCTTCGAATTAGGCACGTGTTTATTAGGGAATCTGTCAACGGACAATCTTCGTGCTGTTAAAGCATTACATCTTGCCGTACATTAAATGTTTAACAACTTATTATTAACTTAAAATCATTCCTGAAGCTTAAAGCAATATTATGACAAACATTAGAAACCATAGCAACGCTACTCAGATATTATCCAAAGCAACTTGATTATTACGTTATAAAAATGCGTTGGAACCTTTAAAAACAAATATCTCGAAAACTATTAGCTTTAGACACTTCCAACAAGTAAACCGTTTCTGTTGTGGAAATACGAGAAAATGAGATTTTTCAATTAGTTGTTGTATACAGGGTATCAAAAAAAAGCTATGATAAGTTAATTACCGAAAGTTAAGCTCATGTAGCTATTTTTTCACTTGACCCACACATCAAAACAAAAAAAAAAGAAAGCATTGCACTGAACAAAATTATGTGAATACAATTAAATTTGAAATTAAATGTTCAAGCACATATGCAACAAAAAATACACTTATTTATGCAAGAGGTGATCTTTTATATTATATTTAAATATGTTCAAAGACAATGGTTTTAGGTGTGCCCGGAATCGAGTTGTACAGAGAAACTGCGTTAAATGTGAAAGATCGGTTAAATAAGGCTTGTGGTGTGGCATGGTGAATAAATGGGGAGATCTGATAACTCTATTGGATATTTGAGCCAGGTATAAGTTTGTTTTTCAAATATAATTATTTTTTTTATTAATTTTGTGTACCAGACTGATTAAATGTTATCGGAAAAGCTTAACGACCTTTAATCAGCCCATAATATCAATGCTCGTACTTCAATTTATTTATCAGGCGGCAACAATTATTTTGGATGTTTTCTAGCCGTTTTGCAGTGGTTTGATCTAAACATGCAAAATAAGGGCAAACCAATAAAGAATATTGGATATAACTAAACTTTCGCATAATGTATTTATTTTCGTCCAGTGTGACACAAATGTTCCGGAACGGCTCGGTATTTACTTGGGTAAGGTATTTTTGGAAACGGTCAAGGTCAGGCCTTCAGTAACTTTCAGCAAAGAATTCAATGATGACCTTGAATTTGACCACGATTAATGATCAACTTTATTTCTTCATATAGAAACTCCTATTTTTGAAGCCAGCAATAGAAAGAACGGAAAATTGTACGTTCAAACATAATTACAGTCTATAAATCTCGCAGGATTAGTGATGAAAATAACTAGCAAGGTCAGGCTGTAGTAAATTTTGGCGAGCGATCTTGAATTTGACCTTGAACTTCATGTTCGATTTTTTCCAAATATTAACTCGCAGAAACTGTAACGGTTAAAAATCATTTGTAACGAGCACGAGGCATTTTTAGAAGTTTTCCTAGCAGAACACATTTGCCTTTATGTGACCTCTAGTGGTCACCTTGACCTTGAACTCAAATACACATTTGAACATCAAATTTCCGGCTCTCTGGACTATCGATATCAAATAGGCATTCCTATATGGAAAAATGACCTATAAGGTGAGCAACATGTTTTCATCAAATAATTCGTCCACTGACAATTGTCATTATTCACAACTATTCCAATGTTGGTGTCATAATCACTTTATATTTTATTGTTTCCTCGAATGATTGGTTGAAGGTTGCACGAGAACGATAAAAAATGCAGTTTGCAGGCTCTTGAAAGCATAATATTTATTTTGTGTCATGATACTTTTCAAAATAAGGTGGTATATTCTATTGACAACATATCATTCCTATTAGGACAATCAAATCTGAAATACCTCAAATCTTCGGTACTCATGATTGGATATACTTCCACTAAAAATGAACGAAAATTTCTTCTGACTTGAACTTGAAAGTGTTACTTGACACTTTTTTAATATTTATTTTTTGCTAGTTCTTACGATTTGCCGGACACTCGATGTTTCTCCAATAGAAAGATATGTTGCTTCAGAAAATATTTAAACAGAGACCTTGGTATCATGAGCAATATATGTTTTAAATAAATAAAATATTATTTTAAAAGCTCTCTCATATTACTAAATAAAATTAAAACACATGCTTGTACGCATTGGGTATCTCATCTCTTCTCTACACCCAGTCCTTTGCAAAAGCAACCTCTAGAATTCTGTCCATGACTATCTGTGGCATTTTTTAAAATTTGAAAGTAAAGAAATCCGAATGCCATACGATAGCGAAGCGCTGTATATTCTTCAAGAAAGCCCCACACCTTGTTCGATCAGCAGAACGAAACAAAAAAAAAACAATTCGTTTACGGTGATCATTGAGTGACAAGCGAGTCCATGAATTCCTTCCAATTCACCGCTACTTACGGTATCTACCGACTGAGTAATTGCAACATGCAGCAACAGAGGCGAGATAGCGGCAACGGATTTCCCTGTTGCATAACACACTTGCTTTGTTGTTATTATCATCAGGCCCAGCTGTGGCAATTTATCGTTTTACGCCAAAGTCAACATATTAGATCAATTGCTATCTTCTCTTGCCTCTGAATGCTGGCTGATACATTATGTGACTAGATACTTCTATACAGGGTGTTTCAGAACTATGGGATCAAACTTGTAGAGGTTATTCAGTGTAACAGTAGAAAACATTTGAGTATAGGGACCCATATCCGGAAAAGTGTCACTACGGCTTTACGGCCCTGAGACGCGTTAAAATTTAGAAAGACGATGAATTGCCTAATTAGGATTTAATGCATTTAATTTTTGCCTTTTGTACATGATATCATCACAACAATTGTTCAAAATGTCTTCCTCCAACCCGAATACATCGTTCCTGTGGGAACATGTAAAGTCTTTGGTTCACGAAACTCCCGTAGAAACAGAGCAAAACTTAATTAGGCGAATTACAGCAGCATTTGAAATCATTCAAAACGAGTATCAAATTTTTAGCCAAGTCCGCCGAAATCATACTATTCGTCATTTATTTGTCTGGGCGGTCCGTGGGACCTTTGCCCATTAGTCACTGTCTGATGTGCGTTAGTCGAATCTGTCAGTCCTGGTTGCCCAGAAACCAGACAAAGTCAAGGAAAAAGAGAAAGGGAAAGAGAAGAAAAAAGGAGAAGAACAAAGAAAAACAGATATGCTTAGTTTAAGAGGAAACACCTAGGCTTTTTGACTTGGTACACGAATTAATTTTGAGGTGAACTAAACAAATTTTTTATTCGGTTTTGTTAGAGTGTAATTTTGAGTTTACTAAAGATTCACGCTAACTTTTGATTACAGTGCGAGCCGTGGCCTTGAATGTTTACGAACTTGCTCCACTGTGTAGTCCACTGAGTCACGCAACAGAGGGTTGCTGTGCGATTCCGCTTGACTATAACGTCGCTGCGCCTGAAGCTTGACATAATCCCTCAAGTAAGGAATGTCAAGGTCTCTGTGTAGTGTCTCATTTGAGACATACCATGGAGCGTTGCAAATTGTCCGCAAAGTTCTGCTTTGCAGTACTTGAAGACTTTGCATGCGTGTCTTGGCAAGAAAACACCAAGCCGCACATGCATAAGTAATGGCTGGTCTAATAATCATTTTATATAGTCGAACTTTGTTTATCAAACTCAATTTGGAGGATCTACATAACAAAGGATATAGTTGCCGAAACGCAATTTGGAATTTTGTTTTTATGGATGCTCTATGTTTCTGCCAGGTCATGCCTTTATCAAGGGTGACACCGAGATACTTGGCAGAATTTGTCCATGGTACACGATTTCCGTCTACAGAAACCTCTGCTGGGGGGCCGCGACGTTTTTTGGTACAATAAATAGCCTGCGTTTTCGAATGATTAATTTTTATCAGAAACCATTCCGCCCACTCTAGAACTTCGTCCACCGCATTCTGCAAACCATCGTGAACCAGATCACCAGTACACGACTGGGCGACAAGTGCAGTGTCGTCAGCATAGAGGTAGACTTCACAGTTGCTGGGGAAGGGGACATCATGGATGAAAAGCGAATAAAGAATTGGTCCTAGGACCGAACCCTGAGGAACACCGGCCCGTACTCGCCGTGTTGTTGACAAAACATTGTTAATTTTGATCCGAAACTCCCTTCCTTCAAGAAAGGATTTCAGTAATTTTAGAAGCCAAAAAGGAAAACCCTTTTGGATTAGTTTATAGAGGAGGCCCGCGTGCCACACCTTGTCAAAGGCTTTTGAGACATCCAAAAGCAAGATGCCAGTACTCATGCTAAGGGTGAACCCTCTGGTTATATGCTCCACCAGCCTGACTGCCTGTAGCTCGGTGCTATGCTCGGACCGAAAACCGAATTGGACGTCAGGAATCACATGGTGATTTGACGAAAAATTCTCAAGGTGACGATAAATCACCTTTTCGGCGAGCTTAGAAGGAGCTGACAGCAGACTTATGGGACGGTAATCCTGAGGAAATATCGAACCCACCTTCTTTGGAATCATGATGACCTCAGCAGTCTTCCACCCAGCAGGGAAGTACTGGATTTTGAGCGTCGCACTGATTATTGTCACCAAGTATGTCAGGGCTTTCGGCGAGAGCAGCTTCAACGCCTTGTTGGTGATTTGATCCTCCCCAGGTGCTTTACGCACCTTGAGGTCTTTAATATGACTTAGTAACTCCGCTGATGTGCAATGTGGAAACTCGGAGGGTTTCGCCAATGAGCTATGTGGAGCCTCAGACGAATCTTCTGAAGAAGAGTCATCTGAAGAGGATTCAGTGCCTCCGCTAACGCCGTTGGCCCTAAAATATCACCTGACGGATCGTACGATGTGCTGTTCCTCGTCGAGGTCATTATCGAGATCATAGTTGGGAGAGAACTGTTTTTCCATGGCATCAGCGAAAACCTCGACTTTATCCTCCGTTCTGAAGACTATGCCTTCAGGACCGTGGATGTGTGGGAGTTGTTCTCGCTTTCCGTTTCTGAGTGACTTTGCGACCCTCCAGAGAGGAATACTTGAATCAAGCATTCCCGCCAGAAAGTCGCTCCATTGCTCGTTGCGGAGTTCGTGCAGTGCGTTTCTCACTTCATGGACAAGATTTGTAGCCCTACGAATGTCATCAGGATGACAAGACCTTTTTGCCTGCTTAATAGCGGCTCTTTTGTCAGAGATTTTCTGACGAATGTCCGCAGGCAAAAAAGGTCTGCCGTGTCGTTGTACAGGAAATACAGTTGCACGCTGTAGAGCTGCTTGAATGAAACTTGTCCACTCCGCTTGAGCGGCATCTATTCCAGACTCATCATCTATAATCGGGATATTGGGAAACTCTCTAAGGAGCAACTTGTATAGGTCCCAATTAATGCGTTTCCTTGGAGGAGCTGCCTCCTCAGAAGTTTGCTCATTGCCCACATCCAAGACAACAGGTAGATGGTCACTAGAGATATCATACAGGATTCGAGAAGAGATACTGTATCTACAGTTTTTAGATATCGCGAAATCGATGACATCTGGTGCCTGAAGATGGTTGAATGGATGATGTGTCGGCTCTTCAGTGCTATGTATAAGGTACCCATTTCGTATCACATGGTTGTACAATCGAACCCCACTAGTGGAATTCAACCTAGAATTCCATGCTCGATGTTTGCAGTTGAAGTCCCCTGCCACAATAAGCGGACCCGAGTAGTCCAAAAGGACCTCCAGATCCGCCTCTTGTAGCCTGGCACCACACCTGACATACACCGATGTGATCTTCACCGAGACACCTCCCGCCATATTGACCACCACAGAAGCTGCTTCGATGCTAAGCATCTCCGCATTAGTGCTTCTATAA